CTCTCGAATCCAGTCGGTGCTACCATGACTATCAGGACGCCGAATTCAGTGACTGTGATACCCGCTATTCGGCGCAGACGGCCACTCGCCCGACAGCCCGTATCTGTGTTAAAAGCCGGAGCGAAAACAGTCGGTCATTCGTCATCCGATACGCAGCCACTGCCCAATGTCCCTGCCAGTGATCCCTGCGTCCACGTGGCACATTCTGATAGTTTACCGGTCATCACAAGTCTGACGGCTACGGTGACCACTGTAGCCTCTGTTTCCACCGCCGCCTCCTCCTGTTCCTCTTCTTTAGTGCCAGATGTTGTACCTACCCCTACAGAGTCCTATCTGACAGATCTCACTCGGAATGTGAGCACAACACAAGTAAGCTATTGGTCAAATCTTTCGTGTTTAAGATTTATACATCAATTACCGAAACAGAGTGGCGAACAAACTCGTTCCCCATGTTTCGTAATCATGTCAATGTTGTCCTCTTAAAACCTACCATGTTGGTTGTCTAATTGCACCCTCGTACTGCCCACCAATCTTTAGGACTCGTCCGGTTGTATCGTCAGCGATTGCACAACTTTATGTGTCCCATCTCAAACGATATCGGCTACGACGTGTCAAATGTCCCCTACTGCTAGTTCTTCGGAGCTCGCCGTCTCTTCTTCCCAGATGGCTTCTACTAATGAGGATGGTACACCCGGCGCAACACACGACACTCAGTGCCCTCCCACGCCTGCTCGACACGGGATCCCTGTTTCTGTACCTACTCCTACTTCTGAAGCACAATCTGATGAATCGACCCTGATGAAAGATCGGGATTCCTGTCGTCTGTACGTTCCTACCCATTCCGCATTATACAGATTTTATTTTGAGTCTACTCAGTTTTTTTATAAATAGCCGTTTTTTCTCAATTTATGGATTCCATGCCACATGCTAGTTGGACCTTATGTGATTCGCCACTTCAAGTTCCCGAACTTTGCGGTTTGCCGCGAGTAATGATAATTAGGGTACGATTACTCCTTTCTGCTGTTCATCACAATTTTTGAACAAATAAACAATATCCTAATGGCAAGCAATGAGTCCAACGGACTTTCTAATGGGAACTACCCCTCTGCTTTGAACTTGTCCAACTTGCAATTTTCACTACCGTCTCCGTCTAAACAGCAAGTCTGCTATTTGAAAGTCCGATATCTGCGGACAGAAACCGGATAAAGGTGATTGCCCGCTTGAGAACGAGACAGACGAGAAAAGTTCAACGGAAGGGGAACCACTGAAGCGAGTTCGGAAGAGCAGAAACCAAAATAGTAACGATAGAAAAGAGATAGTGAAGCAAATGCCCGGCGGTGGGAAAGTGACTAGGTTGGAAGTTAAATACGATTCGTCAATCGGCCGGATGGTCTTACGTTGAACACGATCGAGGTGAGAAAGAGCGGAATACGAAGCTTCACCCCCATATGTGACTGCAATATTCGAGCATCGGGCGGATTTGAGCTTTGTATGAAAGGAGAAGGTGCCTAGATGCAAAGAACCGCTTTGCGCGGATTAGAAAACCGACTTTGGGCGCAACGCGAGAGGCAAGTATCGAAATAAAAGGGGACCAACAGAGAGACGAATTTATGAATAAACCCAGCAGGAAGAGAGAATTTGCTTAACGAATGGGCAGATAATCAAAAATCAATTGAGGAGGATAGGGGACACGTTTACGAGAGACTGAGAGGAGAGGGGTTTTGAAAGCATTGAAACACACATGGTTGGTGAAACCCCACGCAGGGATTAGTCCGAGATAGGAAGGAAGAGAAGCACTAATGACATGGCGATCTTGATCGATATTGGTAGTAGTTTGATGGGTTGTGGGTTAAGAGAAATAACAACGGCGGAGCAGTGAATGGAATTAGAGGTTTTGGACAAAAGATCGTAAAAGAAAGAGAGTGGGAGAATGCATGGAACCTTGGGGAACACCGGCGTTCACAGGGAATGGTCGCAGCGATTGACGAATCAAGCGATCCCGGTCTATTTTGTGCCTTTGTTTAGTAATTTTTGTCGAACTATTCACACTTAGGATCAGATAGTGTTGATTCCTTCAATCATTCTGATCTCTTTTATCTGGAACGGGCTACGATTTTTTTTTATAATGGTGTAACAATCATTTTTCACTTTAACACTGACGGATTCGCATGGTTTCGTGTGTTTGACCACGCTATATGTTGTGTGACCTTTCGGGCAAACCGCTAAAACGTTCCCAGGACGGATGCCAGGAGCATTCAAACGTACTGAGTTTCACTGTTTTTTTTTGACGTTTGTTTTCGAATGATAGTGGAATCGAACAATTCACTTGTATTTATTCATTCATTGGTCATTGTATGCTACCTTTGAATTGTGTATAGCACTTCACCCAGTCCACACGGGAACGTCAACTTAGTGCCTGATGTTTCGTCTGCTCAAGATGCATCCAAATTAGCACAGACATCCCCGAAAGAACGAACACCGCCGAACTCTTCCGATTCGGAACTTTGTTCTCCATCCACCTTGCCTCATGTTCAACAGAATGTGGAATCTCAGGTCGTTGTTCAGCCCGCGTCACAGTCGTCCAAAACGTCCCCCCACTCCTCGTCTTTGCTATCTAATGGGACCTCTCAAACGGATAACGCGGAACTGCAAGCCTCACTCGAACGACTCGGAGTGTCGAATAATCAAATGAAACGATTAACAACCGTACAGGTTAGCACAGCAGCTGTTACATCAGTAACGGTGACCCGATCCACTCATCCACGCCCGTCCACCTTGAGAACCGCTGGAGTCCCCTCATCTACTCAGGCTAGTCTCTCCAAGTTGGTGCATACCGCTACTTCAGCCCTTCGGGTACCACCACCGCTGCTCCATCATGGACCGGATGATAGACGTATCCTGACACATTACATTGATGGACACGTGATC